CTACTCATCAACTGAGGGACACTTAGGTTGCTTCCATCTCTTAGCTATTGTGAAAAGAGCAGCAACAAACGATGTACATGTATCTCTGCAATAGGATGAGTTCTTTGAGTATATGCCAAGGAGTGGTATAACTGGGTCAAATGGTAGGTTCATTTCTGGTTTTTTAAGAGTTCTCCACACTGCTTTCCATAGGGGTTGAACCAGTTTTCAGCCCCACCAGCAGTGGGTGAGTGTTCCCCTTTCCCCCTATCCTCTCCAACATTTGGTATCATTTGTTTTCTTGATCTTAGCCACTCTGTCTGGGGTGAGGTGAAATCTTAAAGTGGTTTTAATTTGCATTTCCCTAATTATTAGTGATGTTGAACATCTTTTAAGATGTTTCATAGCCATCTTTACTTCTTTTAAGAACTCTCTGCTCAGTTCCTTAGTCCATCTTTTAATTGGGTTGCTTCTTGTCTTGGTTCTCTGTTTTTTGAGTTCATTATATATTCTGGTTGTTAAAAAAAGAAAAAAAAAGGAAAGAAAATGTAGTTCATATACCCAATAGAATTTTATCCAGTCATAAAGAAAAATGAAATCACATTTTCAGGAAAACAGATCTAGCTGGACAACATTATGTTAAGCCAAAAAGCCAGACTCAGACATATATCTAGTTCTTCTCATATGTGGAGTCTAGATTTAAATTGTGGTGTGTGTGTGTGTGTGTGTGTGTGTGTGTGTGTGTGTGTGATGAAAATACATACATTACTGTGAAAGGAGAAAAAGCTATCTTAGGGGTAGGTAGCAGGGGAAGGAGGAAGGAGGGCAGGAACACATGTGACATGAAAAGAGAAAGGGGTGCTTAGCGGAAGGAAAGAGACCAGGAAGAGGGCCTTGAGAGGGTGCAGGAAGGCAGAGGGGGAGGCGGATGCAGAAGAGCAAAGTATAAAGACACATGCATATGAAAATGCCGTAATGAGACCCATTACTTTGTATACTAACTTTAAAAAAATTAAAAGAAAAAGGTATGTTGGACATGTTGCTTTTTCTTCTGTTTTCTAAATTTAAAGTTACCAGGTTTTTGTTTTTTTTTTCCCCACAAAGTTTATTAGAGCTGTGATGGTCACAATGTGCAGTGAGGAGAATTAAGAGATCACCAAAAGAAAAGAGGGCGCCTGCTGATGTCCTCAGCCACTGCGAGTTAAGTCTGTGGACTACGCATTGCTTTGATTTTTTTTTTTTTTTCCCTCTCAGAACTCCCACTAGTGGATTGGAATAGAGTGAGGATTCTTCCAGTAACATCCAAACTTTCTCATTTAGGGTCTGTATCATGTCCTAGGTAGGTGTCAAGGAAACGTTGTTTGAGGAAATTTAGAGAATAATGTTTTTGGAATAATTCTTTTTATGTTTATATAGCACATTTCCCACAATGGTTTCAGAATCATTAATAAAACGAAAATTTATTTAAACCTGAGTGGTTTTAATATGATTTTTCTTGCTAGTTATGCCAGTGTAAGTTTTATATGAAGGTTTATATGAAGTTCACTTGGTACAATGCAAAATCCTCCATAAACATTTGAATGTAAATGAATTTGGTATATTTAAGAATAACAACATTCATTGAATGTAATTAATAAATGCAAGGTCTTTTCAAGAGTCTAAGTTGAATTTTATGAGTAGGACTCACTATTTCTATATTTTTTTTGCTAAATGGCAAGATTATTGGTTTATCCTAGAGTATTGGAAAAATTATAGTGTTAACACAATATCCTAAAAATGACTGTGAGATTTGTACTCTCTGAATATAGGTAACAAAGTGGGTATTTTGTGGGTTTTGTTGTTGTTGTTGTTGTTGTTGTTTTGAGGCAGGGTCTCCCTATAGCTCTAGCTGACCTGGAAGTTGCTATGTAGACCAGGCTGGACTTGACTCACAGAGTTCTGCCTGCTTCTGTCTCTGGAGTTCTGGGATTAAAAGCATACAGCACCATACCCAACAACCAAGTGGTTTTATTTTGAACTCATCAAAGCATTAACTTCTAGACATTTTCTTCATTTACAGTAAATCAAGGACTAGAACAATTGCTCGGTGGATAAAGTGCTTATTATGTAAGCATAAGGATCTGAATTCAGACCCCTAACACTCACATAAAATTCGGGCACAGTGGCAAATATCTATAACTCCAGCTCTTGGGAGACAGAGACAGGAGGGTTTCTGGAGCTCACTAGCCAGTCAGCCTCACGGAATGGTAAGTTCCAAATTCAATGAGAGACCAGCTCAACAAGTAAGATAGAAAGCGACAGAGGAAGAAGGAAGACATCTGATGTTAGCTTCTGGCTTCAACATACACGTGCACACATGCATACACTATGTACACACAACTAAATTTAAAAATAACTTTTTTTTTTTTTTTTGGTCTTTTTGAGACAGGGTCTCCCTGTAGCCCCAGCTATCCTGGAACTCACTGTGTAGACCAGGCTGGCCTTGAACTCACAGAGATCTGCCTGCCTCTGCTTCCCAAGTGCTGGGATTAAAGGCGTGCACCACCACGCCCAGCTAAAAATAACTTTAAGAGAAAAGTATTCCTAGTTCTGGGGCTAGTTGAATGGTATGTTAACCAAGATCTGCTTTGGTGAAATTATGTGGAAATCAAAGAACCTCAAGTAGAAAAACTTAAAAACACACTTCTCTAATATATTCTATAGAGTAAGTCTTGATATGTAAATATGTTGAATAAGTCTTCACATGTAATGACGTGTAGATTCTTTGATTCTTTTTTTATTTATAATTTTTATTTTTTATGTGTATGAGTGTATTGCCTGCATGTATGTAAGGGCACCTCTGTTGTGCAGTGCCCACGGAGTCCAGAAGAGGGCATCAGATACCCTGGAACTGGAGTCACAGATGGTTGCTAGCTGCCATGTGGGTGCTGGGAATTGAACCCAGGTCCTCTGCAAGAGCTGCTCTTAACCACTCTGCAAGGCTTTTAACCACTGAACCATCTCTCCAGCCCAATGTATAAATTCTTTTTAAAAGAATTATAGAGCTTTTTGTTTAGTTTTTTTTTCTTTTATAGAACTTCTTAATAAGTCATTATGTAAGATGAATACTTAAAACATGCATCTAGAATAAATACTGATAAAGTTACCCTAACTGTGACCTTGCCCCACTTTGATGGGAAAGTAAAGTTGTATGTATTCTTTTCTTTCAGTTGGATATGCCAAGTGACCAGATAGCTGCCAATCTGCAAGCAGTAATTAATGATGTCTGTAGGCACAGACCACTGAATCTGGGTGAGTAGCTGGGTCAGGGCAGACTTTTTTAAAGCCCTATGATACTTTAAAATGTCAAGCCAGGTGTGGTGCCAGTGCCTTTAATCCCAATCCCAGAGTTGGTGATTGAGTATCTCCCTTGTTAATTCTGTCATCCTGATTATGGCCATAGTCATCGTGTATATGTGGGTTTTTGTATCCCATAGAGAACTTTGATCTTACGGGATAGCAGGAGTGGAATAATGCACAATAAATTCCGTAAACATTAATTTTTCTTCTGTTTTTTCCATTTTAAATGAAGCCCCTTAGCATTATTCTTATGAAAAGCTTTAAATTAAAAAAAAATTATTTTATGTGTATGAGTGTATTGCCTGCATGTATATAAGTGTACCTTTGTCACACAATACCCATGGAGGTCAGAAGAGGATGTTGGATCCCCTAGAACTGAAGTTATGGATGGTTGTTAGCCACCTTGTGGATGCTGGGAATTGAACCCAGGTCTTCTGCAAGAGTAGCCACAGCTCTTAACCACTGAGCCATCTCTCCAGCCCCATGAAAATCTTTTTAATTCATAGAGTGCTTTATCAACTCTTCGTTAACTCAAAGGTAGCACCTGTGCTGACTGTTTAGCTAAGTATTTGAGTATTTCCATTAAAGGTAAATATTACCACCTGCTTCCCTCATTGTTGACTTTGCCATGAAGACATTCTAGGTGAACATGGAGAAGAAAGGAATGAATTATTAGTGAGTGTGTCATTTCAAGGATGAATTTCTAGCACAGCTAGTTTGTCCTTATTCTAGCAATGAAACTGTCTTTCCTTCTAACTTAAAACATAATTCAGCAATATGATGCTTTGCAGGTAAAATATATGAGTCCTGTAAGGTTTCTTATTTTATAAATGTGTACTTGATCTGTAGGACTGTACATAAAAAAAAATCAAAGTTGGTTTTTATCTTTGTTTCTAGGTCCCTTTGTAGTCCGCATGTTCCTCCGTAGTTCAACCAGTGAAGGATTGCTCCTGAAGACTGACCCATTGTTGCCCAAAACAGTTGATAGCAAAGAAAATAACAAAGGAGCTGCTGGAAAGGACTGAGCTGTGAAATTTTTTAGGTAGATCAAAAAACAACAGAGGAAATTATAAAACTGTATAATTCCTACATTTGGTCTTGTGATTTCTTCATCACTACATTTGAAAGTAAATTTTAACACTAAACGTTCTTATAGTTTCAAAAACAAGGAAAGAAATATCTTTCTTTTAGAATCTGTCACACTTTCTTTGTTTTTAAATTTTCTGTTTGTATTTTTCTGGTCTAGACCTTGTCACATTTTCTTTCTTAGCATCAGTATTCTGTATTTTGGTAGAAAATTGTCTAGAGCAATTTCTAGTTTAATAACATTCCTTTGGGAGACACAACCAACTGGAGTAATAACACTTTCATTTCCAACAAGGTAGAGAATGTAGCCATGGGCTTTATCACAAACATGACTTTTATTTTGTGGGGGGTGGGAAGGGGAGGTGTATATATGTATGTGTATACATAGGGATGTGGGGTCCACAGGTCAAAGTTGAGTGTCTTCCTCAGTTGCTTTCCACTTTATTTTTTGAGACACTGAACCTGGAGCTCACTGATGCAGCTAGACTAGCCAGCAGCTGCATGGATCCACGTCTCTACCATCCCCATACTGGGGTTACAAACATGTTCCATTGGGCCCAGATTTTTACCTGAGTACCAGAGATCCAAATTCAGGTCCTCATGCCTCTGAAAAGCACTTTACTGACGAGCCATCTCCTCAGCTCATCAACATAACTAAAGAAAAAAAAATGTTTTCCAAGAAATGTTCATTCTAAGGAATTCTGGTAGCATTTGTGGTAGCTAAAATACAGAAAATGACTTAAGCCACTGGAAGAAGTCTGTGCGTCTCTTAGGAATCTGCAATAATATATTAGCATACTTCCCACTCATGTACAGCTCCCTGTGTGTAGTATTTTGATACATTTGTCCATTTGATCATGAATTCCTCTGCTTAATAACATGATAGGTGTTTGGTTAGCATTTGTCGAATGAACATCCTCATGAAGCTAGAAAGGTTTTGATTATGGTTGTAGAATCTAATAAGAAGACAGAGGTTGGGCTGGAGAGATGGCTTAGTAGTTAAGAGCACTGATTGCTCTTGCAGAGGTCCTGGGTCGATTTCCAGCACCCACATGAGTTTGCACAGGAGTTGTGCATACTGTCACCATGGGTTTGATTCCCAGCACCCACATGACAACTGCCCGTAACTCCAGTTCCAGGGGATCTGATGCCTTCCTCCTGACCTCTGAGGGCATTACATGGCATGGGTGCACTTAAACACATGCAGGCATTATACTCATTACTCATACACGTAAAATAAAAGTAACATAAAATTTTTAAAAAGGTGTCTTTCATCAGGTGTTGGATTTTGGAATAGCTTTGTTCTTTAAGTGTTTACTAGTGACAAATATCTCCCATGGAATTGCCAACTGTCTTTCTTGGGAATAATTTCTTTTACTCTCTAATACTTAGCATCTTCTTTTTTTTAGGGACTATTCAGATAGTTTTGTGAAAGTAGTAATACTGATAAATTTGGTAGTAGGCATTTGAGACTTAATATGTAAGATAAATTTTTTAAACTTTTATTGAATTTTTGTGTATTTCATACAGAAAATCATCTTTATACCCTCCCTTCCCCTTTGGCACCCTTCCATAGCCCCCTTCTCCCCACTGGAGTTCATACATTTTGTCATTTGTATTAAGGCCTATTATGTAAATTTAGTGTCTGGAGATGTCCTTCAGTGTAAGTTTATACACTGGGGTTTAGTCAGCCTATCTAGAGTCTCTCCCTTCAAGAAGATCAGCTCTTCCTCACCCAGGAGTAGTCAGCTGCCAATAATTCTTCAACTAAGGTTAAGGCTTGCTGTTTCTTTCTACAGTTCTGTGCTGGGTTTTTGTCTGCCTGTTTGCATGGGTCTTGTGCATGCTGACACCATTCCTGTAGGTTCATATGAGAAGGGTACCAGACACCTGTAGGACTATTTCCATATGGTCATGTTCCTCCTCCCTGGCTCTTAAACTATCTTTCTGCCCCCTCTTCCACAATGGTCCCTGAGCCCTGGTACCCACCTGTCCTGTCCAAGGACCCACACTCTGCTGACTTTATTCTCTGTGTTTTGGCCATTTGTGGCCTTTTGTGTTCCTGGGGCCTGTGTTGCATGAGGGAACTTCATTGATGAGAATTGAAAGATGCATTGGTGTTCTCTTCATCCCTTGTTCTATGTTCTGTGAGTCTTAGGTGTAGAGGTTGCATCCTAGATGTGCTACTTAGGCTTGGGTAATTCACAGAGAATCTCTGTGTGTGACCAGTGATGTGACTCTGTAATGATCTCTGTTTTTTGAAAAAGAAGCTACTTTGATGGGTGGTGACTGGGATACTTGTTTGTAAATTTAAGGATCCATATTTGCACATTAATATGTAAGGAAAATGTTGACAGCTTCATGTATGTCCCCTATGTTTTAGTGGTCTGGGAAGTTCAAGTAGCTATAAACCTCTGTACCTCACTAAGCTTTGTTTTTTTTCCTGTTGGAAATTAAAAGTTAGTGCTGTTTACCAAATACAGTGCTACAGTGGTTGCATTACTACAAAACACTAACAGCAGTCATCTTCATTGTCTTCTTTCCTCATAATTTCATCCTCATAGTAACTCAGTAAGGAACTAAGCCCGTCGTGTTCAGAAGGGGACTGAAATTTGTGTGAGGTACAGGGAGTGGCAGACTCCCATCAGTCTGTTCAACTGGAGCTCTTTCTGGCTCAACTTGCAGGGGCTCAGATTCTAGGGCTACACAACTACACTCAACCTTCAGACTTCTCAGCCATTTTTTAACCATCAGACTAAATCGCTGCCTCTTTATTATGTTCCAACATAGACTGAACTCAGTGGAACAGTTTTGAATTAAAAAAATAACTTTTATTGAAGTTTTGAGATTTTTCTTTCTTTCCTTTCTCTCTCTCTCTCTCTCTCTCTCTCTCTCTCTCTCTCTCTCTCTCATCTTTTTGAGACAGGGTCTCCCTGTAGCCCCTGCTGGTCTGGAACTCACTACGTAGACTTGGCTGGCCTTGAAATCACAAAGATCCTCCTACCTCTGCCTCACAAGTGCTAGGACTACAGATGTGGACCACCACTCCCAGTCAAAGTTTTGCGATTTTCATACAATACTTTGATAGTATTTAGATCTCCTTCCCTATCTGCACCTCCCCACACTGTCCCCCCTCACCAGATTTAATGTACTCATATATATAATACCACCTATAGAATCTGATTTGTGTCCCCAGTTATCCTTCAGTGTGAGTCCATCCAATGATCCCACCAAGAGTCCCATTCCTATAAGACCCTGTCCCCCTCCCAGCAGACAGCAGTTGCCAAAAGTTCATTAGGTTGTGTTAGGATTTCTTACCCACTTCCCCATGTCATGCTGGAATTTTGTCTGGTTTGAGCTTGTACCGAAGTTGTGCATGCTGTCACCCCATTGCTTCTAAGTAACTGACCAGCTGTCTGGAAGACTGTTTCCTTGTGGTCATCCACACCTCTGCAGTTTTGATTATTACATTTTGGTTTCTAGTTAAGGGGTTATGGCAAAGCTGATGTGAAGGGTGAGAAGAGGTAGGAAGAGAGGGTTGTGAAAATAGTAAATGGCGGAAAGGAAGTCATTTCCCGCAGTTGCCGTCTTTTCAAAGCTTGTTGGCTAATCATTTGAAATCCTGATTCGCGAAGTAGACTTTTTTGTTACTGCTATTTGTAAATTTATGTTTGTGCACATGTAAGGCAGGGCAGAGGTCAACATCAAGTGTCTTCCTCAGTTGCTTTCCACCTGCTTGGGTTGAGTTCACGGCTGGCTAGTCTCAGAGAGCCTGCTGTCTCCACCTCCCCTGTGAATGCTGAGGACTGTGCTTATACAGCAAGCACTTTACTGACTCACCCATCTTCCTAGCCCAGTTTCTATTTCTCATGATGCTTAGGATTGAATGCAGGGCCTTGTTCATGCTAGTTGAACTACTACTGAGCTCCAAACCTGTTGTTTTATTAGTAGATTTTTTTGATTAATGAAGTATTAATCAGTATTGAAATGCTTAATTAAAACACTGGTAATCATGAAAGGAAAACCACTCATAATCTTACTACTCAAGGATAGCCAGCACTGCTATTTCAGGACATTTCCTTTGTCATTTTCAGTTGAGAGACAGGAAAAGGGCACATGCATAGATGCTATTAGAAAATAGTCACTCCCTCTCATTAAGATCTCATAGAAAATATTTAAATAACATGATAGCATTGAAATATTCCCTCAGTTGTTGAGCCTTTAACTGGTTTCAGGGTCCCCTCTCATTTTTAATATTTTTATGTGTATGATTATTATGTCTACTTGTATGTAAGTGCACCCGTATTGTGCAGTGCCACGCAGAGGTCAGAAGAGGGCATTGGGTTCCCCTGGAGAAGGAGTTATGGATGGTTGTTAGCCACCATGTGGGTGCTGAGATTTGAACCCAGTCTTCTGCAAGAACAGCCCATGCTTTTAACTGCTGAGCCATCAAATGGCTGGAGAAGTCCCTCATTTGATTTTTAAAAGTAAGGTTTTTAAAGTGTTTACAGTAAATACTGGGTATTTACAGTAAAGCTTTAGTTTGCAAAACACAAATAGCTGGTCTTCATATGGAAATAAGGGCTAGACCTTAAAAATTTGCAGTCCTTTTTTTTCTTTATTTTATGAGTGTGAATGTTTTGCCTACATGCATCATGTGCATGCAATGCCCAAGGAGGCCAGAAGAGGGTATCAGACCCCCTGAAACTGGTGTTACAGAGGGTGGTTAGCAATCATGTAAGTGCTGGGAACTGAACCCAGATCCTCTGTAAGAGCAACCAGTGCTGCTAACTGCTGACTCATTTCTCCATCCCCCAAATTTTGCATTTCTAACCAAGTAGGGTAACTTTGGGGACCACTAGTATATACCAATGCTTTTTTTAAACCCTGGATGTAATAAAATTTTTTCTGACTTTGGGACCAACATCAGTTTATTTTAAAATTCCATAAGTGATTCTAAAGCACCAGGTTGAAAATCACTGCTGTGTGCCACTAGCCAGCTTAG